CCCCCCCCCCCCCCCCCCCCCCCCATGTTTATAAACCATTTTTTGGCTGAGATTCTGACATGGAAATATTGAACACTACCATTTTCAGCAGCTAGATGGCACTGGACCAGTATGGCATGCCGTTGTATCATGTAATAGGTAAAAGTAGCTATTAATGACACAATCGGCCTGCCTCCTTTGTTCTGCTCACTGCTTGGAGAAATGTCAAATCAGCTTCATTTCGCTGCGCTGCTCCGGAGAAATGCAGCTAATTTGACCATTGAAGTGCAATTATTAAGGAAAAGTTCAACTGAGACACACCTTTACTATAAAGTCGAGCATACAGACACCTAAATTGTTTTTAGGTGTTTATCTTGTTAAATTTTGAAGAAATGCGCAAAGACTCGTCCCTACTTCTGCGTATCGATTTTTGAAATGCAGCTGATTTGACCGTCAAAGTGCATTTATTAAGAAAAAGTTAGACTGAGACACACCTTTACTATGATTTCGAGCAAACAAATAATTGTTTTTAAGTGTTCATCTTGTTAAAGTCCTCCCATGCACACTCCGGCGGCCGCCATTTGGCAGCCCATCGATTTTTGGCACAACACCGGCGCACATTTCCGGGTTGTCAGCAGTGACGCATAATAGATGCGACGTATACCGCGAAGCGACACATTTATGGATTTTTCCACTTTATTAGACATATTTGGACTGATGCAACTTACAGGGCGGTGCGACGTTCACGGCGGAAAATATGGTAATCAAAACAAAACCTGCAGAAGGATACATGCTACACACTTTGTGATGCCACGAAGCTCACCAATTATGTTCACTGGGAGCTTCAGAGCCGCTGCCGTGACGATGGAGGCACACACGGTGGCGGCTCCACCCATATCAGCTCTCATTTCATCCATAGAGAGAGACGGCTTCAGAGAAATACCCCCACTAGAAAGAAGAGTCAGAGTCAGGACGCAAAATGTGTAAGTGAGGAAACATGAATATGACCAGACGCAGCAGCAAGCTGTTAAGTGTGTACGGTAATTTTTTTTAACCTGTCAAACGTGATGCCTTTGCCCACTAGGAGCAGCGGTGGCTGCTTGCTGTCAGGTGAACCGTTGTAGTGCAGCTCCAGGAAAACAGGGCGCTCCTCTGATCCTTTGGCCACGCTGAGAAAGGCTCCCATCTGTTGCTCCTCGACCCAAGCTTGGGTTCTGAAAATAGTACATAAATAAATAATAAATGTGTAAATAAATGCATATGTTTGATCATTATTTATCTTGCTGTTCACAGTCAACGAAAGATCAATAACCAGTCTCATGTTTATTGTAGACTAATAATCTACAGACAAAACATAAATAAAAATTACGTACTAGTTAGAAATCAACTAAAGGCACATTTCAGAGACAGTACACATGGACTTACATTCATTTGTAGTTATAACAATACACGTACCATATTTGTTGCTGTATAAGTCGCACCTATTAGCATAAATTAGCATGCTGCAACTTATCCAGCAAAGCGACGCAGTTATGCCCCCCTCCCCTCATATTTTTATAAAAAATTTTTGACGATTTCATTCATTCTGACATGGAAAATGTTGAACACTACCATTTTCAGCCACTAGAGGGCGCTCAAGTAATACGACAAGCCAAGTAGGTAAAAGTAGCCATTCTAATGAGACGCTTGACTTGCCACAGTCAGACACCTTCGTCTCGCTCCGGAACTCCTGGAGCAAACGTCAAATCAGCTGCATTTTGCCACGCCCAGGTGAAATGCAGCTGATTTGACCATTAAAGTTAATTTATTAAGGAAAAGTTCAGCTGAGACACCTTTACTATAAAGTCAAGCAAACAAATAATTGTTTTTAGGTGGTTATCTTGTTAAATTCTTGTTAAAATCCTCCTGTGCACGTTCCCGCGGCCGCCATTTGACAGTTAATCGATTTTTTGGCACCACACCGTCCCACATTTCCAGGTCGTCAGCGGTGACACATAATGGATGCAACTTATACAGTGAAGTGACGTATTTATGCTTTTTTCCACTTATTAGACATATTTGGACTGATGCGACTTATAGGGCGGTGCGACGTGTATGGCGGAAAGTACCAGAACTGTACCGGTCCCTCCCATCAATAAGCAGGCACACCTTTGGTTTAACTGCATTTTCATAAGTGACATAGCAGAAAAACAACAAATGAAAATACCATCTGAAGAAGCCAACATTAAATGAAGCATGTCTGATTCAGAATAAGACAGGACCAGACCTGGCTTTTTGTTTTAAACTAGCTGAAGGGGAAAAAAATAAAAAATATGATCATGCACAGCTGCAGCAGAGATAGAAAGTGCAGGTTAGGCAAGCAGTTGTGCCAGGTAATCGACCCTTTAAAACCTTTAGTGGCAAACCATTTGTATATTTGTTTAACATCCCCAAGTGTCATTTATTCATACCAACACTCAGCCTGCTGAGCAGCTAGGCTCGAGTGTTTCCCATTTTACTCAGTTTGTATTTTCACATCTGGAGATGTTCAGATCTCTATTGTCTTTATTATTCTGCATCATGTCAAATAAACTGAAGTGAACATTCAGAGTTTTTGTTTTGATTTTTTTTTGTTATATTTTCCTAAAACTTAACTTTGTGGAGCGTATCAAACTTACAGTTTGACACATGGTCTGCTGGTTACTGTTTGGCTCAGATTAAGTGAAAAGGAGAGTAAAATGTGAGTAATTACATTTCAAAGTCGAGTTACCAGTTTACAAATCCTTCATTGCTGTACATGACATGCCACCTTACACCCTCCCACCTAACAAGGGTGATTTGTTTAGCTTTCATTGATTCTGAAAGTTGGTAAAAACAAAGCAATGACAAGAAACAACACATAGCTATTGATACGCTTTCCTTTTGTGCCAAACCTTAAGCGTCACACCGAGCTACGTATCGAACCGTGTATTACCTTTATACCCCTACTGGATACTGTGAAAAATGCCACTGACTCAGATCAATGAGTGTTGTTGACAGAAGCACAAACCTCCTATTTATTGTGACTCGTTCCGCATGTGGAGCCAGTTTCTCCTCAATGGTGTTGGCAAAAGTAGTGGGAGTGATGTAATTGGCAGGAGCTTCCATGAGAAGTCGGGCCAAGTTTTGGCCTTCTGCATACAAAACACCTTTCCTCCAGCCGTCCATGTCAGCACTGGCAATGCAAATGGAAAAAAAACCTGTTGGTTCATGTCTATTTCCTTTAACAACAATACAAATATTGTGTAAAGGCCAGAAAGTACCATGTTCTGAATTGTTACCTTCTGTGAAGCTGTGTTGTTACTTTGGTCTTCTTCTTGGACTTGAGTTGATCATAACGAAACAAGCCCAGGGCGGCGCCTTCTGCAGCCGACTGAGCATCACCGCAGCCGTCCACCTCAATGCAGTTCACCTCCAGTTCCTGAAGTAGCAGGCAGCCAGCTGAAAGAACACACAAACACACAGATGAAAATAAAATACCAAATCGAGAGCATACGCCTGCTCTTAGGTGATTGTTGGCATCCTACCTGACACCGCCTGCCTGATGTTCTCCTTCCTGGTGTCCCAGTTTTCAAATTCACAAACACCTGTGGTGTTCTTGCCCAACCCGACCACTGCCACACATGGGAAGTCCTAAAGCAGACACAAGGAAGACAACTCTAATGTTGCGATGAGGCTGAAATAATAATGTTAAAGAGGCGCCATGTTACCTGGTGAATTCCATAAAATATTCTGCCTTTGCCTTTCTTCAGGCCAGGTCCAGCTCTGGAGAAAAATAAACAAATAAGTTTAAATAATATTAATAAAAGGGCCCGACTTTACTTAAAGGAATGCATATCGCCTTTCATGACAGTATTATTAAACTATAATCATCTTAAGTTGGAAAACATGGGATTTGAAGCTGTTTTTGTAAAATTGTGAAAAAAATTAGAGATACACGATATTGGATTTTTGGCAGATTTTATATATATATATATATATATATATATATACACACACACACACACACACATATATATATATTTATATATATATATATATATATATATATATATAAACAGTGCCGTTTATATCTGAGTTATTTTGATGGAATGGCCGATGTCCGATATTTAACTTTATCGCTAATATAAATACTAATGATAATATGCTAAATGCTAATACAAACCAATATAAATGCATGGTATCTGTATCGAAAATATCGATACAGATACCATGCAGGTAATATCGTGCATCCCTAAAAAATATTTACAATTGCGCACAATAGTCCTCGAATTATGTATTGAGGATAGATTTTAGCAACATTCACGGCAAATTTTAGCTCAAAATCTTTAAAACTGATGTCATTTTTATTTTGGTGTGCGTTTGGTGAGATCAGTTACCACCTGTGGTGGCCATTTTGAATCTAACTAACTTCAAAATACAATCAGTAGTAGATGTACATTCAGTGATTACTTTGAGAGTTTCTTTAAGATCTGGACAATGGTTCATGAGGCATTTTGCAAACAGAAATGGATAAACATACACACACATGCATTATTATGTTATCACCTGGTGGGCGATGAGCACAACTAGATGAAAACTACTGCAGGTAAGGTACGTCTGGCAAACTGATTGTTGTTACCATCATAATACAGTATGTTACACTATTTCTAAAATCAATGCTACAAATATGAAGAGAAAGACACAAATTACACTTTCAAATATGTCAAGCTCTAATTCAAGTCTGTGTTGTCTTTTATCATTAGATTTTAAAATATACAGGAATTTATTCATGCAGCAGTTTTGTTTGATTTTAAAGTGTATGTAAAGTAAATAATCTCATCAAAATTAGAACATGACAATTAAGACTTGTCTAAGTTAAAAATAAAATGTAAAAAAAACAAACAAACTGGAAAACAGTGAAATGTGACACATGTCTAGGACTTGAATTAGGATGTGTACTGAAATACTACAAAGAATATAAAAAAGTTTACACTTTATATACGTTTATATGTAAAAAAAAAAAATGTCCACTAATGTTACAGGAAAAATAGAGCCTCCCTCCAAGCAGAAATATTGTTTATTATACTGCTGCTCATTGTCAAAAACAGTTTTATAAAACTGAGTAATCTTTGTGTGTTTTTTTTTTACTGCATCACGTTTCAACAATATGGGTGTTCACTTTTAGTGCCGCCAGTTTCTTCAATAACTTTTAGCCTCATAAAAATTACAATTTACATTTCCAAAGTCCTTCAACTCTTGTTGTCGAGCAGTATTAGAGATTTTATGCGATATGCTGATTATAACATCACATGATCAGGGTCTGGCACAGTGGCGCAGCTGGTAGAACAGCCAGTATGGCAAACCCTTTTAACATAAAATCGAGTAGTCTGACTATCTGTAGTTACATTCTAGATATCTTAAATTGAGTTTTGACTAGGCACAATTACATTTTGACTAGTCAGAATGCTAATTTAAGATATCTTGAATTACATTCTGACTAGTCAGAATAACAATTCAAGATATCTTGAATTACATTTTGACTAGTCAAAATGTAATTCAAGATATCTTAAATGACGTCACCTGATTCGTCATTTGACGGGTCAAACATCCGTAATTACAATTCAAGATATCTCGAATGTAATTATGACTAGTCAGAATGACACTTTTAGATATCTTGAATTAAGAAATGACGCGTAGGACCCGCGGCTGCTACTTAGCTGTTCAAACAGCTGCCTGCAGAATTTTGAGTGGCTGCAATGGCGCTAGCTGTTCTGGACAACATTGTTAGAAAATGCCACATCTTCCTGTGGCTATAGTGTTAGTGTTAGACAGTGAGGAAAATGGCTCAGTCTCTGCGCTGTTGTTTTTGTTCAGTTCCTGGTTGTTCTTGTGGGGCAAGAAAACAACCGTATCTGTCCTACCATGCTTTACTGCACTCTCACAGCCTGCTTGAGTCACCATAATTAGGCAGTGTCTTACCTGAGAGAAGACTGACTGGCTTTTGGATTTTTGTATGTGAATGTGAGGCCCATGTTTGTTTGTTTTGCAATTCTTAAGTATTATTCATATTTATTTTTTGTTAATTTCATATTTATATTCCAGGTTGAAGGTGAGAGTTGAGTCTCGTGTAGTTCTGTTCCAGTGTTTACTTGTAAACAAACCCAAGTGTCTTTTCTGTGTATAAATCATGTCCTTGGGTGAAAGTCCTTAGGTGGTGTTGCAGTAAGTTTATAAAATAAAAATAACATCCATACCCAAGCTTGTCACATGTATATAAATTGTTCTAGTGTTACGTAGTTACCGGTAGATAGTTTGTTTTGAATTATTTTAAACATTCTTCAATTAAAACACACTTGAGCAGCATACTGTACTGTTTTTTTTTATTTGTGGATTGATTCAGTTGAATTACAAGGAAAACAAGTGCAATTTACAATATCTAGTAAAAACAAAAAACATTTAACTATTTTAAGTTAACATTTTATAACTGTACACTATAAATTGATAGTGGATTATAGATATTTTATCAAATTATGTAATTTCAAATTAAATAAATTGGCACATTTATGTATTTTTCATGAATAACTATTTACAGTATTTACATCTAAAAAGTTAAGTCTGGACATTCCAAAAAACAAAACAAACAAAAAAAAAGGTAGAAACGTTTCGTCTTTCATCCGAAAGGCTTCTTCAGTCTGAGGTGCTGCTCAAAGTCAAAGTCACTTATTGTCAAAAACTGCAACATGTACAGGACATACACAGGACTGAAATTACATTTCTCTCAGACCCCGGTGCAACAATAACCATTTAACATTAAAACATTTATTAAGCATACGCATAAAATGAAGTAATAAATGGTTCACACATTTACACATGGTTGTCAGCAGCAAACTGGTTGATCCACTCTGAGAAGGTGCTATTTATAAGACTGAGCTGAATACAGCACCTCAGACTGAGGAAGTCTCTCGGATGAGAGACGAAACATTTCTACTTTTTGTGTGTGTTTGTTTTGTTGTTTTGCTTTTTGAATGTCCAGAGGACCAGACTTAACTTTTTTAGATTTTCCTGGATCATTGAGCAGCATCAAGATATAGTATTTACAGTGATTCACACAGATTGAGACTGATTAAAAATATGAAGGAACAAAAGGGTGATTTATAAATTTTATGTTTCTTGCTGCATTGATATAAACACATGGATGAAGGTGTTGAAGTAAAACATGTCCAGTTTAGACTTCATCTGATCAATCAATCAATCATCAATCCAATCATCACACCATACCGTTCAACAGTTATTGTTTAGTGTACCCGCTGATCATCTGAGCTGCCAGTGCTGTCAGCAGACTCCTCCTCCGCACTTCCTCTGTAAGCAACACGGAAAGTGGAAACAGCTCGCAGTAAGCCTTGGTTGTTTAAGCTGTACCCACGCAGGACATCTGGACTGCTCCCTGGTTCTGGCCTGTACTTAATGTGACACTTGCAGAGACTGAAGATGCATAAGTTGATCAAGTGTGGACACAAAACACATGTTGGGAAGACTATGCAGCATCGAAGGAAGAGCAAGGAGGTCTGGAGCCATGTGGTGCAGAATGATGCTGCGCAGGACTTCTCAGGTGGACACTGGTGAGACCCCAGTGAGCCCTGTGGCACAGGACCAAGTCTGGATGGTACCAGCTCCAAAGCTGAGAGACCATCTCTAGGATAAGTGTGATAAGTGGTTGGGACTCCAGCTGGTGTAGTTTTTCTCCCGATGCCAGGATGTCAGGATCTGGAAGTGGTCCTACAAACACACGAGTGACAGAATCACAATAAGTTTTGACAGTTTGGACATAAAAACATTAACCCAAAGGTTATACCTGTGTAAGCTCTGTAAAGCGTGGAGTGCAAACATCTTTACACCAGTTTTGGGCTTTTGCACCACCACCACCTCGCTGGCAGGTTCAGGATGGATTCCCTTTCAAGAAATAAACATAAAATATGTCAAACTAATAAATAAATAAATGTAAAGGGACAAGTGAGCAATTTGGTAGGACACAGTGGGACAGATTTGAGAGTTAAGATTTTTACTTAACTTGCAAATATTACTAATTCATAGAAGTTGAACCTGCATTTATTCATTACCTACAAAAACAAACAATTCTAAACAAGTTAGGAGAGAAAAATATATTTGACACAAGTAATATTGAGACTATGACAAATTTCACATGGCACTAATAATATACAGGTGGGAAAGTTATTACAATTATTGTTATGAGAATCATAACCATCATATACTAAATACTGTAACAGAAAAGAATGTGTTCCACTCTTATTTTATTTTTTTACCTGTGTTCTTTGTCTGTGCCATCTTTGTAAATCTCTTGTGCAGTCCAGTACAGGAGGACCAGTTGGCAGCTGGAGTTGGGAGTAGTGGGCAGTCTGGTAAAAAAAAAAAAAAAGTGCAACTACATGGTTACAAAAACTTTACCAGCTGCACTTCTGCAGAAATAAGCCAACATTTCTTTTTTCAACACACAGTGAGATCTAAAATAGATCTGATTTTAGCACACACACACATATATATAATTAATACTTGTTATAACATATTTAGCTTTAAACCAAGTAATAGATTGTATAATAGATGGATTCACTTAACACATCACCTTACATATACACAGCACGCTACATACACATAAACATATGTTTGGCACTAATGGAACCTCATAAAAATATAATTAAAGATTTTATATCATGTCTGTCTCAAACACTCCAAATAATGTAGCACACTAAATTAGGCTTCTTTATCACGATGTTTATGCGCTTCATATGTTGTAGCTAACGGTTAGCTTGCTAAGCTACGTCTTTTCTTACCTTGACAGCTGTGGAGATTTTCTTCAAGGAAAAACTTTTGTCCTTTCAAGTTTATTAGTTCGAGAATTCGCCGCTGCGATTTCCTCCTCAGCAGTGAAAAAAAAGATTGGCAAATTAAGCAAAGATGTTGAAAAGAGAGACATGTCTCATTAGTGCAAAGACTCCCAAAGCAGGAAGTGTCGGTTTCCGGTTGTCGTGAAAAAGACGTCGCAAAAAAGTCTTCTTGTTTCAGATACAATAAATAATCCGAGCTGCCGCGTTAAAAATCATATTAAAAATACGAGCGTTGTGTTGGACTGACCTGATTTAGCAGATTATAAAATAAAAAGGCTACAATGCCTTATGATTTTTCCGCCAAAATGCTACGTAAATCTGTGACGTTTTGACTAGTCAGAATAACAATTCAAGATATCTTGAATGTCATTCTGACTAGTCAAAATGTGAATTCAAGATATCTTAAATAGAAAAGCCGTCTACACGATAAAATATTCAAGATATCTTGAATTCATTTTGAGATATCTTAAAAGGAATTTTGACTAGTCATAAGTACAGTTCTAGATATCTTTAAGTTAGTTTTGCCTAGTCGTTATTTGCTATCAAGATATCTACAATTTAATTTGCACTAGTCAAAACTTCATTTTTGATATCTACAAATACATTTAAGATATCTTGAATAATGACGTAATTTAAGATATCTTTAATTGTAATTATGACTAGTCAGAACTAAAAGTGAGATATCTTGAAAGCAAATAATGACTAGTCAAAATTAACTTAGAGATATCTAGAACTGTATTTTTGACTAGTCAAAATTCAGTTCAAGATATCTTGAATTGAAGCCTCCATACAACTCAATGGTAAATCTGACGTCATTATGACTAGTCAGAATGTAATTAGAGATATCTTAAATGAGTATTTTGACTAGTCAAAATGCAATTCAAGATATCTTAAATAACTAATATGTCTAGTCAAAACTCAGTTTCAGATATCTGGAATGTAAGCGTGGTGAATCCTATTTTATGTTAAAAGGGCTTGCCATACAGCCAGAGCTGCCACTACTCAGCGATCAGGTTGCCGGATCGAATCCCGGCAGAGTGAGGACCTTTCTGGGTGGAGTTTGCATGTTCTCTCCGTGCATGCGTGGGTTTTCTCCGGGTACTCCAGTTTCCTCCCACAGACCAAAAACATGCATGTTAGTCTGATTGGTAATTGTCTCTAGGTGTGTGAGAGAGTGAATGGTTGTTTGTCTCCATGTGTCTCTGTGATGGACTGGAGACCTGTCCAGAGTGTCCCCCGCCTCTCGCACAGTGATGGCTGGATATTGTAGCAATGAGAATTGCTTAATGTGTAATGTGTTCCAGTCAGACCACAGTGACACACAGGAGTGTATGAAGAGACATGCAACTACTACTGCTGAGTCCTGAGTTGAATAAAAAGTGTCCTGTGAGCAGAGTAATGCTCAGGCGTCCAGTTTGTAGAGTCACGAGACAAAACGTACTGATACAGATGTGAGCATCAAGCAGAAGCGGGGTAAAGATAATGGATGGATAATCAGTAATACAAATATTTCAAATACATTGTTGTTTCCTTGAGCGAATGACTGATGATGCAACAAATGAAGACAGTAATGAAATGGGGGGATCAGGGACTCACACGTGCAGCAGGTCTGAGAGTTTTCCAGACAGAAGCTGATCAAAACTCGCTGCTGATTCTGTCAGATGGAAGCCGGACTCCTTTCCTTCCTTCTCAAACACACCCAGCACCAAACCCTGCAGAGACAAACAACCTGCTGCTCTCTGGAAACCTCACAACACCGACCGTCTTCGCTGGTTTTATACTCACTTTTCTCCCCTGCAGGTGATTCTGAGAAGCAGAAAACGACCTGCAGAAATGTTTCTTCACCACCGTCTGCACAGCGTTCCTCACAACCTGCATTGTCACCTCCTGGTCTTATAAACACATTAATTATTAATTAACAATCACTCAAAGGTCGTTCACTCGCTGCACGCGAGAGTATCACTACGTCGCGTTTATGTTGCGTCACCGACAGGCGACAGCAAACAGAGGCACTCTGGCGCCACCTAGCGACAGAGAAAAACTACAGAACAGTTCAACCTTTATTCGACCTTTCAACCAATTCATTCAACCTTTATTTAGACAGGTTAATCCCATTGAGCCTCGAGGACTCATTTACAAGAGAGACCTGATTTCAACAAAGAATGATGACAACAATAGACAATTATAAAAAGGCAGACAGATTTTTTTTTTTTTTTACAAATTAAAATAATATGGGAAAAAAGAAGCAAAAACAGCTATATTATAAGAAGTGTTTAATTTTTGTTATTTCTCATCTTAATGCTAATACTAATGTTATTTTGTGAGCTACATGTTGAAACTATTTGGCTTTTATTTTGTCAGGGTACACATTCATGAATATTTTATTTTTCTAATAAGACTAATAATTTATTTTACAAATACAGACATTGTTTTATATATTATAGGGTAAATAGACAAAGTGCACCAAACTGGACTAGTTTCAGTCAACTTTCAAAGCAAAATAGCTATAAAAATAATTATATATGTTAAGTTTCTTTTAACTAGGGATTTTGTATTTATTTGCTACTCCTTATAATTTTTCTTTCTTCCATACTTTTATTACATTATGTAAACAAAAAAATGGAAGAAATCATCCTTTGGCTGCTGGGTGCAAAGCAGCAATTATCATTTTAAAAGTAGTTGTGTGGATACAACACAACACTAAAGTTTAGGTGTTCAATGAATGTTCGTTTTAGTTTTTAAAAAAATTATTTTGTACTTTACCTGGTTTTAATTTATCTTTCTCTTTTACGGTACACAAGTCAGTGTTAAGCAATGTAAATGAACGGAAAATAAACTCCAAACTACTTAAAAATACAATAACAGGTTTATGAAAGATGCTTTATTAATTTAGTTTTTACCGTTTATATCAGGACTATTCAACTAAATTGTTCAGGGAGCCACAGTTACTGAAAACCAAGAGCCCAGGGACATCCAGCAGTTATTGTCATTAAGTAAGTTTGTTTTATTCAATTCAAAAATACTTTTTTTTTTCCAATTCAACCTTTATTTATACAGGTTAATCTCATTGAGCCTCCAGGACTCACGTACAAGAGAGACCTGATTTTAACAAAGAATGATGACAATGATGGTAACAATGAAAGAAGGCATATAAATTGGAAAAAAATGGAAGAAAATCATGTAAAAAAAAACTGCTATATTGTAAAGCGATTTAAAATACTAAAAACAGGAACATGTCTGCATTGGTTTTTCCCATGAACTTAGCAGTTGTTTGAAGCTACTTAGAGAGGTCAAGGTCAAAAGCTTCAGATCTTTTTGCAAGATATTCCAGGAAACAGGAGTAGAGTAGGAGAAGGCCCTTTTGCCTAGTTCAGTCCGCACAGAGAGTACACTGTATGTAATAAAGTCCTGAGAGCACACGCTGTAGCTGCACTCACACAGTGACATTTAGGAGGAGATGTAAGAAGGCAACAGACCAAGAAGTGTGTGAAGTTAATGATGACCAGTTACCAGTGAATACAGGGTGCAACGGTGGGCACGGTAGTTACAGCCAGTTATGAATCTTAGTGCACCATGATAGGCAGCGTCCAACATCTGCTGGGTTCTTGTAGGAGTGTTCATGTAAATAATGTCACCGTAATCAATGGAGGGAAGGAAAGTCGCAGTTACAAGGTGTTTCCTAGTGTTCAGAAATAGACAGGATGTATTTCTGGAAAAGAAACCCAGTTTAACTTTCAGTTTCGTTTTGACCTGGGGCTTAAAAGATAGATGTGAATCGAACAAGATACCAAAATATTTGTAGGAATCAACAAACTCAAGAGGAGCACCATTCGAAGAAAAAATCAAGGAAAGGACTGCTAGGACCGACTTCCTGTTTAAAAACATCCCTTTGGTTTTGTCGGCATTTAGCACCGGTTTGAGACTAAACAAATCTGACTAGATGATGTCAAAAGCGAATTGCAAAAGCTGGAAAACCTTAGCAACTGTTTTAGCTGGACAATAAACAACTGTGTCATCAGCATAGAAATATAAGGATATATCAGGAATGATCTGACCTACATTACCAATGTAGATTGTAAAGAGGGTGCGACCTAAGACTGAGCCTTGTGGTACACCATTGTTAACAATTATACTGTAACTGCAGGAGAAGTACCATTTAGTTGAACACATTGCCTTGAATACACTGACTTTGACTTTACATTGTCTTTACACATCGACTTTATTAATCCCGAAGGGAAATTAAATGGGCAGCACGGTGGCGCAACTGGTAGAGCTGCTGCCTCTCAGCGAGCAGGTCCCCAGTTCAAATCACGGTCCAGGGGCCTTTCTGGGTAGAGTTTGCATGTTCTCTCCGTGCATGTGTGGATTTTCTTTGGGTACTCCTGTTTCCTCCAACAGACCAAAAACATGCATGTTAGGCTGATTGGTAACTCTAAATTGTCCCTAGGTGGGAGTGAATGAGTGAATGGTTGTTTGTCTCTATGTGGCCCTGTGATGGACTTGCGACCCGTCCAGGGTGTACCCCGCCCCTCGCACAGTGATTGCTGGACATGGGCACCAGCGACCCCCGTGACCCAAAATGGAATAAACGGGTAAAGATAATGGATGGATGGATGGATGGATGTAACTCGTTATCCTCGTTTCATTAAGAGATGTTATAGATGCTGATGGCTGTAGGTAGGAAGGATCTCTTGTAAAGGTTCATCCCACAGCGGATCTGAAGAAACTGGTCGCAGATGCCGTCGTATCCGTCCACCCAGACTCAGCTGGCCTCTTGGTTCCCCTGGGCTGCAGGGCCACCTGAATGCTGGACAGAACTCCTCCCAGAGCAATGGTCACTCCTCCCTTCAGCTGCTGAGCTCCTTGTAGCTGTCGTGCCAAAAAGTGATGGGCTGCCAAAAATTGATTGGCGCTGCAGGAGTGCACATGGGAGGACTCTCTGTTTTAGTTCTTTGAATTTAACAAGATTCGCACGTAAAAACTATTATTTGTGTGCTCAAAATTATAGCGAAGGTGTGTCTCTGTTTACTTTTACATTAATAAATGCACTTTAATGGTCAAAAAAGCTTCATATATATTATATTATTATTATTTATTATCATATATTAATATAAATTTTTTATTGCATGAGTCCACTTGTGATAAATGTAATTTCTTTGTGATTTCAGTAACTTTGATGTCTTTTAAGGAAAATAATTGTGTTTATGACCATATTTATTTCCTATCTTAACAAAGGTGTACATATTTTCTTTTTGTTTGTATCTGTTACAGGATGAGCTGGATGACATAGAACAAAGTATGGAACACACAGCACATCAGGCCATCCAAAAACTTGCAAGTTCCTTGCGGTCGGCCCAATGCAAACTGTAAATTACAACAGACTTTCTCGCACCTGTTCACAATTAACATGTTCAATTGTGCAGAAACGAATGTGTGTTTTAGCTAACCATACCATGTGAGCCAGATGTTTATGACATGTGCAACATCTTAATGGCTGAGTCTCAACTGATAACACCAACAGATCCATACCCGTCATTAACTTATACGTGTGCCTGAGAAAGGCCATCAGCGCACTAAAAAACATTCACATACATGAAAATATAAAAAAGACTAAAGAAGTCTTTCAGATGAAAGACGAAACGTTTCAACATTTATTTATTTTTTGCTTTTTTTTTTGGTTGGTTTGCTTTGTTTTGATTTTTGAATTTCCAGAGGACCGGACTTAACTTTTTTTAGATTTTTCTACCTGGATTATTGAGCATGCAACAGGATATAAAAATATAAGGGTTTAAATAACAGAAGCACCAAGTCCAAATGATGGCCCTGACAGAACTGACAGAGTAACTACAGCGTAACTACAGGGTAACTACAAGGAAACTACAGAGTAACTACAGGGTAACTTCAGGGAAACTACAAGGTAACTTTATGGTTAACTACAGGGTAACTTTATGGTAACTCCTGGGTAACAACACAGTAACTACAGAGTAACTACTGGGTAACTACAGGGTGATTTTATGGTAACTTCAGGGTAACTTCAGGTTAACTTCGGGATGACTTTATGGTAACTTCAGGGTATCTGTGATACTATGGTAACTTCAGGGTAACTTTATTGTAAGTCTATGGTAACTTCCAGATGCCCCCCTGCAGGCTTGCTTCGATCTCTTCCTATCCCCTCCCGTCCATGGTCCCATCTGTCTATGGATTACATCACTGGTCTCTCCTCCTCTTCAATACTGTCATTCTTACCATTGTGGACCGTTTCTCTAAAATGGTCCACAATGGTACCCCTCAAAAAATTCCCCTCAGCCAAAGAGTTAGGGGACATTATGGTAAAGGAGGTTTTTTGCCTTCTGAGGTTTACATCAGAGGTGCCAACCGCCGTCGGTCCCAAAACCCTGTTTACCAGGTGGACCAAAAAGTATGGTTATCCACCAAAGACATGCCATTCCGCACTGAATCATGCAAGTTGGCACCCTGTTTCATTGGTCCTTTCCCCATTTCTAAGGTCATTAACCCTGTGACGGTTTGCCTACAACTACTTCGCTCCCTCAGGATACACCCTACATTCTGTCTCCCGTGTCAAACCCCTCTTGTCCTCCCATTTTGAACCCTCCTCCAGGCCCCCCTCCTCCCACCTGCCTGATTGATGGTTCCCCTGCCTATACGATGAGGAGGCTGATTCGCTCTATAAGGTGGGGTTGTGGTTTACACTACCTCGTCGAATGGGCGGGCTATGGAACAGAAGAGCGGCCCTGGATCCCTACTATGTCACGTTTCTGTACTGTAGTGAACCTGATCTGACCTCAAATCTAATCAGATGAACAGAGACTGGTATTTCATTGACCTGCATCCAGAAATACAGTTTGAGCCATCTGGTGACTTTCTTTCTTGAATTAATCAAGCAGAAAAGACAATTCTCTATGATCATTACTATTTTACAAATGTTTGATAATCAAATTGTGTTAGTTTACTCAATGTTTAC